GATCAATACCCGCGATTCCCGCTTTTCCACCCCGTGGACGTTCGTTCGCTCTGTCCCCCTTCGACAGGCGTGCTGTTGCGCCTATATTGATGTCGGCGGCGCTCGTAAGGGTAGCAAGCGATGACGATGGTGTTCGCCGCTGGCGTCGAAACTGCCTCGCTTCACCGTGGACGTGCAGGGACGAAGGTTTCAGGGTTATTACAGGTGGAATGGTAGGGTTAACGCGAGCGCGTCGGGGAAATAAACCATGCGCGGTTCTTTGTTCTTTTTTCCGATCATCAAGCTTCACGGCGTGCTCGTAGAAGCACGAAACGAGCCGGGAATAGCTGACCAAAAATTTAAGATTTTACAATCAAAATTTTATTTTTTAATTACATTTTTTATTTTTTAAATTGGCACAAGTAATATATAATTTCTCCGTGGGAATAACATGATAAAAAAAAACGTCATTAAAATATATTCCATTAAAGTATATTACATACGAATTGCTTTCGACATTATTTATTCTTATATTCAAATTTCTAAATATTTTAGTTATCCGAGTTGACGAACCCAAGCCAATTTGAAAGCAGTCTGACGGGTCTATTGATTTTATACATTATGACTTAAACGGTTCCATGTAACGATGGCTACGGGTTTGTATCGCTGGGTTTGACTAAAATGCACCCTCTTTCGAGTGCCCGGAACACCGGCAACACCGATGAGGGGTGGATTCAGCCCGTAATTACGAATACTTCCCCCATGAGCCATCACCGAGCTCTGCTCGGTGGATAATCTAAATGAAATCGCGATGCTTTACAACACATAAATGAGGATGCTGTTACTTTTTTGAACTGCGGTTTTCGCGTGCCACTTATTCGCTTTTACTCTGCGGTCGCCTCATCGACAAGATCGCAGTGATGTTATAACGAGGTTAATTTACAAGCGAAAGTAGGGTAAACTTTTTACACGATATCTACCTCGTAGAATCGACTACGTCGACAGAATCGACGAGCTATTTTTATTGTTACAGAGCATTATAATCAAAATCCGGCGTTCATTAAATCGCTGTAATCTCGTTCTATTATATCAATTCTGTCCTCTGTCAAAAGGGAAATTTAGACGTTAAATCGAATTGACACGTGGAAAACAATTGATGATAAACAAGAAATATTCTGTGCAATCACGACACGTCTCTCGAGTTTATCACTTCCTTATTTAAGCGACGTTATCGATCAGCAGCGAGAAACCTTTATCTTTTATTCCTGCGATTCCTCTTCTTCCATCGCGAATTGACTAAATAACAACATGTACGCAACAAGTGCCAATGCGCTTCTATGCATTATTGAATTGAATTTAGATTTTATCTTATCTTCGGTAAGAAACAATCGGATTCTTTCTCGAAGGAGATCAACGCGGATCGCGAACAACGCCTTCGGAAACTGAGAGTCCGGGAAATACACCTACGCAAAGATAGCAACAACCTGCAACTGGCGAACATTAGGCATTAAATCGAAAGGGTCGTGCCGTTCGCACGCTCTCTTATGCAACACGATCCTCTCACACGCCGCAATAAAAAAACGCGTGCCCCATTCGTTGTATACGTCTGCACGTACATCACATTCTCGCAGACTCGACTTCACATTATCCATGAGAGCCACGAGACTGATGTGCTAGCAAAAATATTGCTCGTATCGTTTTTTCACAAGTCCCGAAAAATTGCACAAGTAATTGTAAATCTATGAAGTGCTCACATTGTATTTTTACAAGTTCTGAAAAATTGCACAAGTAATTGTAAATATATAAAGTGCACACATTGTATTTTTACAAGTCTCAAAAAATTGCACAAATAATTATAAATATATGAAGCGTTTGCGTGCATTGTATTATAAATATATTAAAGTAATTATAAATATATTAAACAATTTCATTGTATGTTTAAAAATTGTTTGCATTGTATGTTCCATAAAAAATTGCACAAGTACTATAAGTACATGAAGTGCTTGTAGATAATGACTAATCTCTTCTGATTTCATCAAATTGAAACAGACGCAGTCTAAAATTAAAGCGACGAGTTGAGTCTTCAAGTAATCAGAGAAAAGAGTTTAGTACTGAAGTTGAAGACGATAACGAGAATTTAAAGGCATTTAATGAAAACGATAATACATTGTATATTTAGAATCAGTTTCAAGAGTATCGGCAATCAAAAATTAGTGAAACAGTAATTGGCATTAAGTAATTTTTGTATTTATGTGAATTACATGAAATATTTTAGTCGATCAAGATTGCTTGATAGCGAAGTAATTAAGAGCACATACTCCACTTATCAATTTAGTTAATTACGTCTTAAGAGCACTCAGGGGAGCGTTTCTGTTACGTCAACGGCATGTTCAATATAATACATTCGCAGTTATCTTTCCATGTGTACGTGTGTATTTTCAAATATTAAAACATAAAATTTCACTTAACTCAACAGCATTCATCACATCACAATAAATTATATTCATTTAGCTAACACACACATGTGCTTCAGACAATGCTTTATTATTAATATTATAATTAATACTAACAGTTTATTAATTTTATAAGTGATATACGTGATCATATCTGTAAATTAATAAAGCAAGAGAGCACTATATAGCATGTTCCTAATACATGTAATATTTAATTCGTTTGACCTGCCAGAGTTTAAGATTAGAATAAGAATTTAAATAAGATCATAAATCAGAAATAGAATTAGAAGTGTGTGAAAGACATTGGAATTACGAGCAGTGGCATGATACAACAAAGTTGAAATTGTTATATGCAATCGCGGTTTGGTCATTAGAAACAGGTTTGGCGATTGAATGAGGATTTCTAGAGGTTTAATTCGCGCGAGATGGATTGATATCGGGAAGAGAAAGTCGTGGTTCAACTTCATTTCCATTAGATTCAATTTGAGGGTCGGTCACCGGATGACCTTGGACCCGAGGAAGGCCTACCTCAACGTCGAGAGATCACGAACGTGCTCGCCGGAATCGACTCCGGAATCGCGGCTATTTGGGTCTCAACTCGGCCACGATATTCTCCGCCATTTGAATTATTCGCTGTCGTCGTTGCATTGTTACTGGCTGCCTATCGAGCAGCACGAAGCGAACTATCGCTATGTAGAAAGTCTGATTTCAGTCTCGATTTGCCTATGATTACAATCACTATTTCCATCATCAATTTAATACAAATGCGACTCGTCATAACTAGGTACTGTCAGAATTTTCGAATTTAACGAAGATTAATATCATGATTTCGTCGGGAAAAATAATCGTGGGTGGTAATAAAGAAAAAAGAAATGTTTTGTTATTGCGGACGAGTGTATTGCAATTCGTAAGGTACAAATAGTATAAAGGGTATAAGAGTACAAACATTGCGTAGGAACTAGATTATGCGGACATAGAAAAAGTACAGTTTAGAGACGTGATATAGCAAAGAGAATTCCTCATCCACCTCCCCCCCCCCCGGTTTCCTCTCTCCTCTTATATCACTCGCAAATGCGAATTGCGTTCTTCATGACTCTGCCCTGATTTTATTTTTTACGGAAAAGATTCATGCCGAGATCGTAAACGCGTTAACAATGTGTACGAGAGAAATCTATCCGAAAAGGACGAATCTATCGCAAGAGAGCTCTCTCTCTTGTAATATTTCAAATAAAACGTAGAGCGATTATTGTATAAATAATAATTAGGCTCTGCAACGATTGAATTCAAATCATCGCATTTAACATTCTAAAATCTTTCTACTTAGACATCTGCATTTTCTATATCGCTTCTCATGTCACTCATTGCAGTATTCTAACTGTTCCATTTAGAACGAAGATATAGGCGAGAGAGAGAGAGAGAGAGAGAGAGAGAGAATAAGAAAAAAACAGATATAGGATCGTCGGA